TTCTGCAACCACCAACACGACTCCCACCAAAATGGCCAACGGAGCCACCACCACTGTCTCATCCTCACACACAGCCGGTTCCAAAGTGGCACTACGGCGAACCAGGCAGCAAGTGGAGAGGGTGCCCCTGGAACGGGTCAGCCGCGAGGCCCTGCTGGTGTGCGCTGAGTGCCTGAGCAGCGCCCTCCACGCCAGCTCCGAAAGCCCCTCCAGCAGCCAAGTGCTGGACGCCGGCCACCAGCTGCTAGACTACTGCTCAGGTTACGTGGACTGCATCCCTCAGATGAGGAACAAATTTGCCTTCCGAGAGGCGGTGGGGAAGCTCGAGCTCAGCCTGCAGGAACTGAGGGCTTCATCTTCAGGAGGAGGACTGAGCAGCGTGGGGCCCAACACTGTACTGGACAACCTGCACAGCTGTATTAAAGAGATTAGTGACGTAGTGCAGAGGTAGCCACTGTGACAACACCAACCGTCAACGTCAAACCCCAACTACCCGACAGATCGTATATATTGCCTTTTTATGTTTCTGGTTCTATCGACAGCTTTTCGAGGGACGAAATGAGATGAATCTCTAAAGTACCTCAGAGAAATCTCTACAAAGTGTAATCTTAAATGTTTACAAACAACAGTTTCATAAAAATGCCAGTGTGGACACTAACTTTGCTCTGACCTGTACATATTGAGAAATGTTTATACTAAATGTGGTTTTAAGTCGCACCATGAAATGTTTCGCCGCGATTCTCCACGCGGCCGCGATAATAACGGCCTCTTTGTTAAATGAATGTCGAGTGCATCAGCTGTGTGTAGCCAGCCCGGAGAGTAGGTGAATGCTCCCTCTGCTCGTCTGTCAGTCTGTCACATTACTGAGAGACAACGATGGCGGTTGTTTCCAGCCTCGCTGAGAATACTAGACAACTGTTTTTCCCTGAGAAGCTTAAACAGCATTTCACAAATATGTGAATCATGAGGCTCCTGCTCAGTGTCTGGGAAATGTAATGACCATAAGCCATTTTTAAAGCCATTCTGGGTCTCATTTTGACACTTGTGTTTGTGTGCAGATGTTTGTTTTTTTACATTTTGGTTTTATTTCATAGACTGCATCTGACAGTCAGTATTTTTCAGTAGTTGGACAATTAAGATAAACGATCAGAAGATGAAATCTCCCCATAAATGCTTGTTTTTGAGAATAATCTTTAGAGAATAATCAGTGTTTAGACAGCGACATTCCCAAAACATAAGACCATTGAAAACTATTGAAGGGATCACTCACAGCATTGGAACAGCATTGTGTTCATTTAAATAAAGCATATATGTAGGCTCAGATAAAACGCTAAGTTTATGGTTTGGTACATTATCAAATCAAACAAGATAGGAAGAGATTTTTATCAATCTATTTTGGGGGTTTTTTTTCACTGAAGACTGAAGCATTAATGAATGAATGAATGAATGTGGGGTGTCTTATCATATGCACAGCATTTGTCTTTGCTTCAGTGACATGACCGATGTTAACACAGTGCCACATAAAAGGGGAAAATCTCCTAAAGCATTTCAATATTTTGGTCCAGTTGTCCTTGCACACTACATTTCTCTTCAACTATTATGGAGCGTTGAAAGTGTGGAGTGAGGAGAGAGAGAGAGAGCACAGGGTAGCACATGAGCAGGCGAACTGGGACAGTGTTTCTATAAGTGTCCTTCTGCGTATGGACAGTGCTGGATTCCCTGTAGCCTTGTCATGGCCTCAGTGCCTCAAATACTTCAAAGTTATCGACACTACGCAAACGCAGAGACCTACTCTGCACGAATCACACAGTACTGATATCTCAACAAACAAACTGCAGTATGTCTTCAGCACATGAGCGATTTGTACATTATTTGGTTTAAAAGAGGAAAAAATGATTTTTAGAATGTTATGTATGAACTTGAATTTTAAATTATTCTTTTTTTTATTAAAAGCACAGACCTATTTTGAGAAAAAAAAGAGTGTAAATATTTGATTTATTTCATATCCAGGAAACAAAATGGTTTATGTGGGGTCACAGCAAAAAGAGCAATGTTTTTTGACTGTAGAGATGTATTGAGGCCCATCCACCCAGATCTGAATACCTGCTTTATGAATGTATTATTCTTCAGTTCTGAACCCGGCCATATGTCCATCTGCACAACTCTTTAAACTCTTAAGGTCTCATTTCTTTATTTATTATTTTACACCTTTTATTGGCCATTACGTCTAATTTTGGTGACACTAAATCATAAAAGTCTAAAATCAGCTGCTCTGTTGTTTTGAGCACAAATAAAACTGTACAGCACATACACAGCTCACATGTTTTTTTTCCTTTTTCTTTTTTCTTAGGCTCACATCTTAATTTACACTGGATAAGAAACATTGGTTCATCGACACATTGCATCTGAATATTACAAAATCTTATCTATAAACACTGCTGGTCCATAACATTTTTTTAAATGTCTGGTAATGAACTTTGATGCTTTTCCAAGTAAAACGTGTCATCTTTTTTGTGGTGCATTTCATAAAATCATTTCATGTTAATGTGTGTCTGTGAAATGCCCAATTTCTTGCCAAACAGAAAGCTTTGAGACAAAGTGTAATTAACGTCTACTCACTGTGCATTTCAACTAACATGGCCATCAATTATTTTCGTGATTCTTGTGCCTTTGTATGAACAAATATGTACAGTTACACTGACACTGCAAGAAATCTAAGTACGGGAAGTCCATCATTAAAACATTTGTGTTGGCTTTTCTTTGCCATGGGATTGTGATTGGTTGTCACTACAGTATGTTTTTCTCTCATTCAGAGGTTAAAGGTCAGATGCAAACTTGAAACCAAAAGGTGCATTTTTGTCTCTTCTTCTGTGTATTTGGACACTTATTTGATTACAGGTCATTTAAACGTATGCACCTGTTTGGTCACTTGAGCCTGTTGCTCTACTATCTCTTAATTTCACAGACGTTTTGTCAGAAACATTTTTTATTTAATAATTGCCTTGCACCACTCTGACCTGTTTGCCTGTTAGGTTTCTATTGGTTTTAGTGCATCTCTGTGAAACATGTTTCCCAAAAAAAGCCTCATGAAAAAGTGAAATAAAAAGCAAAAAATATGTGACCATCTAGAATTGAACACATTTCCAGCCTGGATGTGTTTTTTATTTTTGTTTTTTTGGGTTGTGTTTTTTAATAAACATGTAAAGTTTCAATCAATGATTACAGTGTCAATGAATTGTTTGGGTGCCAATGGAATTTCCCTCTCATATCTGTTATCTGAACCGATGCTGTTTAATATCTGAACTGACCACATTCTCATTATCAGTCTCATGCATTGTCTTTATTTACGACGCCTGCATTTATCCTGTATATGTGTTGTTGTTTTTTCCTTCTGTCTCCCTGTTCTGGCGAGCAGCTCTGGAGAATGTGTGTTCACATCATTATACCAAAGGCCACTTCTTCAGTTGTACAAGTGCAATGTAAATCCACACACACACATATATACAGAGACACACCTTAATGGAATATGTGAATCTAAACAGGGATGAAAAAAATGGCAGAGATGTTAACATTAACTTTTTTATTGTACAAAAATATATTTTGTGTTTTTGTTTTTTTTTATTTAAAGCTCACGTTATATTACTGTGAAGTTCTGCTTATCAGTGTTAAGCCTATTGTAAATAATAAAGATATTGATGAATACTGAATTTTGATGTTGTTGAGACGTTTTAATTTCAGATGAATATTGAAGATATAAATTTGTGTTTTGACTGTTGCACATTATCCTCTTTAGCTTCTTAAAAGTCTTAAATTAATGAGAGCTGTCTTTAAATCAAACATTAAATAAACGGATATTAAAAATGTTACTGGAAACCTTTGAAGTACGAGATGTGATATGTCAGCTGCATGAATCAGTCATAAGCCTTTTTTAAAAATGAATGAAACTTTGAATGTACTGTAAATTGTGGTCAATCTCCACCAAGGAGAGCACATACCTCATTCTGATGCACCGTGTATCCAGGATGTACAACACATCAGTGGATGTAATTTGGTTGCAATGCAGAAGAAAATCAATTTCAGTTTGAATATTTCACCCATTAAAGTTCCAACAAGTAAACACTGATGTTCATGTGAAGAAAAAATATTGTGGAAAAGACTTATTACAGTTTCTCTGACTTCAAGTTGGCCATCAGTGCAAAGCCAGAAGTTTTTCATTTCAGAAAACCAAGAAAAGCAAATAACATTGAGCAAATATAATGAACAAGAACCTGAAATTACATTTTTCAAATGTAATCATCAAATCTGTTTTTGCTGCATTCAACTAATCCACTAAAATATGTTCTCTACCTCTTTAAGTATTTTAAAGGGACATAGTTGTAGGAGTATTAAGGTTTGAGTGTTTTGGACATTTTTATACAAACCCTCAACTTACAATGTGTTTGAAAATACATGCTACTTAATAATGGAAGGTGTGGATGACTAGCTCATATATTTTGGTCAATTTGGGTTTTCACAAGTGCTGTACTTATATGTTGTTGCGAAGTACTATATATTATATATATATATATATATACTATATATTTGAAGCTACTAAATACTAAATTGAAAAAATATTTGTAGCTATAGTCACTTTTCATAAAGAAAACATGCAAAACATTGGTAATACAACATGATGAATTCTCATAGATCACATGACCATGGTGTATAAAATAACTTTATTTGTATGGCACTGATCTAAACAAGGGGACAAAGTGCTTCACAAAATCCACTGCAAAGAAAGAATAAACTAAAATAAAGAAGTATTCAGTTCAACTAGGGCGTATTAAGGAGTACTTTCAATGTTACTACATTTTTATTCCAGTGAGACTTTGAATGCGGGGATTTCACCTTGTGTTTAACTGAGGTCATAAAACTTTGACTCAAGAAAACAGGGCGGATGATAATATATTATACTTAGAGTCCTCTTCATCATCAGCACCATCCTCTTCCTCAGCAGCATCGTGGCCATGACGCCGCCCCCCTGACACCATATCCGACTCCTCCCCGGCCGTAGCCTGTTGTAAAGATGGCGTCCATCATGGAGGGGCCGCTAAGCAAGTGGACGAACGTCATGAAAGGCTGGCAGTACCGCTGGTTCGTGCTGGACTACAACGCCGGTTTGCTGTCATACTACACGGTACGTTCATCCCCGGGGTTTGTACCCGCCGGAGAGGTCCGCTCCTCGGGCCACAGGCGGGTTAGCGTGCCGCTGCCCGTCTGGAGCGGGGCCTTGTGTTTGTCAGGAGTCTCAGCTGGCTCACAGAGGAGGGGCTCCCCGCTGACAGACACCACGGTGGACCAATAGCGCCGCTCCTCTGGCACAAGCGGCCAATCAACGTTCGCTGTCTTTCCCGTACTTCCGCGTGATGCAGCTAGCTCCGCGAAGCTAAAAGCAGAGACGAGCTAACGCGTCCAAACGTCGCTGTGAATGTTTCTCCGCGTTCAGGTGAGAAACGGTTGTTATTCTTTGTGTCGGCGAGGCCACGTTCGTCTCCGGTGAGTTAGAGACAAGCGGGCACTAGCTGGACTGTTAGCCGAGGAGCTAACGAGACATCACTGGAGGAGACCGTGTTAGTTTGGTGTTTGGTTCACTGCGGACAAGCTGTCATTGAAACAGGTGGTGACCAAGGAACACAACAACTGGGTTGTCAGAACATTTACTAATCGTTGGTTGACATGTGCTGTGATCAGTAGTTTCTCAGTGACTCCATTGTCTTCAAATGTCGATAACTGAACCAGATAGAAGCCTGAGCCCTGACTGATCTTACACTGTGTTCATGTCAGATGAGAGAATAACTGTGTGTGAACACTCACAGAGATGTGTAGATGATCGAGTAGAAGCAGAGTAAAGAGGGATCTATCAACAGTTTCATACAGTATCTGATTTAGAGCCTGAAACTACAAGTTGCTAAAAGTATTGAGCAAATGTTGGAATCATTGTCTGTTTGCAGCTTTTCAATAGAAGACTTGCTAATGTTCCACTTTTATATTCACAACATGGTGTCAATACAGTTACATTTTGCCAAATGTTTGCTGAGCAAGTTGAATAAAGGGTCACTGCACTTTATTCGAGTATGTTTCCCCACAATTAATGTTTCATTCTGTAGTGAAATGTGTGTGTTATGTACATATTCTCTGTACTTTCATTTATTCTTTTTTTATTTTATTTGTTTTTTGTTCTTGTCTACCTCATTCTGATTGTCTTCTCGTGAAAAAAGTGAATATCCCCAACATGATACCTTGGTTTTGTCTTATCTTGTCTTAACTGTTTTCTGACAGTTTGAAGACAAATTGATTAGTAGAGAGAAATCAGCCAATTCATTGACAATGAAAATAAGATGTAGCCCTAATCCCAACTATAACAAAATGTATATAAATGTTCAATTAAGTCAGTTTAATATAAAAATAGGTCACCTATCTCACCTATTCATCCAGTTTTTGATTTTTAACCCTTAACCTTTTATTTTACAATGATTTTTCAAAACTGCTACATTCAAATACAAAACAAGTCAAGAGGGAAGAATATTCTCTCCTAACTTTTAACTGTTCCAACTAAAAGTGGGAAAACTTAAAGAATATAGTTGGATCAAATGGAGAGACCTACATACAGGACAAGCTGACAGTGGATTATTCGCAGTGAGCCTTGTACAGAATATGAAGCTTGTCTGTTCTAAACTCCACAAGCCGACTAACAGCTTCTTCCCACAGATGTGCTCAGTGTCTTTGTGAGCCTTCTCTATAGCAGACATGTTGACTTGTCACAGTAGAAAAAGCACAGTTGTTACTAATAGCATTAACAATGGCTCTGTTCTTTTCAAGTGTCCTGCTAAGGCTAAGTGACAGTGAGACACAACACCAGCACCTTCAGACTGAAGCAGCTTAATGGAAACTACTGTGCTTTTTCTCTATGCCTGTTAAAATAATTTCCTTGTGCACTATCCAGTATAGGTAAATACTGTATCCTGAACTCTGACCATTAATCCCTTATCTGTTGTTGGTTTACAGTCAAAGGACAAGATGATGCGAGGATCCAGAAGAGGCTGTGTGCGACTCAGGGTAAGATTCTCAGGCTCAATGCCACCCTGACCCTTGACTTTGATGTATGAGATGAATACTCTGCATGCTGAGCCTTGACTCGCATGTTTCAGACATTGTTGTCCTAAGTGTAGTTCAACACCCCTAATTTATGACTTTCTGTCAAGATTTGCTTTCTCAATGCAATAGTTATGAATTAAACTGTCTGATTTGAACAATCTAACAGTTTTCTGCTGTTCTGTCTCTTTTCTGGTTAAGGTTTACCAGAGCTGTCTTTGCAATATGTTTTCAGTACTGAGTAATGTCCACTAGGTGGTAGCAGTCGTCGGCATTGATCTTGAACACGGTTCCATTTATTAACACCACGCATTTGATACTCAGACTGTAAAAAGAGTGTATTTGTAGCAGTAATGTGTTTGCTTTGTTAATCCATGAAAAGAGTCTTGACACTACCAACCTCTTCCCGTTTACATGCATGTGAATTGGCAACTTGAAAACTCTCAGACGTTACTTGTGCTTATGGTGTTTCATAAGAGTGCATGACATGAGTTTAAAGAGAAGCAGAGGTGAAAGCCACATTTTTACCATCAAACCTGTTTCAGGACAAAATGCGTTGTTGATCTCAACCTGTTCTCACTTTAGGGAGAGGAAGTAGCTCCTGAAACTACCTGAATAGAGGATCCAGCATTAACTATGGACACGCAGTCATGGGTCAGAGGTTTCAGTAATGGATGGATTATTGTGATACATAATACCTCACTCCAGTGAAGTGATGAGATGCATCATGGAAAATTAAGAATTAATATATGGTTAAATTCATAAACACCTTTTGCCAATTTGAAGGAATAAATAACATTGTCATAGTCTGTTTTTCAAGAAGAGACTTGTACCAAACCCAGATCCCTGTGTCAAATATTGTGCCAAATCCTCAGCTGACTGTGTCGGTTGCATTTTCTTACAAAGTATTTTTCCCACAGGCTCTGTGGCCCTGCTTAACCAGGCATGCTTGGTCTTGTTTGAAATAACAGTGTAGCCATAACCTCTAATGTAATGTCATGCTGTTTTTCCTTGGATTTATTTCAAATGCCACAAGGTAACAGGTTTTTCACTAAGTCAAATGATTAAACTTGTTTCCCTTCTCACATGTCTAAGCTCTGCCATCATCATTACCATCAGTTTGTGTTGACCATCTGTCAGGAAATGTTGACCTTTACTGTAATTTATGAGGCCATACTTTGTGTTCAGTGAAAATAAACATATTTGAGGCCCTTTAGGCAGAGTAAGGAAACATTAGCAGTTTCAACACTAATTAGCATCAAGATGGTTCGGTTTTCCATCAGAGCAATAATATTTTTCTTATACATTGCACCTGTTCTGGCAGTGTCATATACTCTATATGTTGTTGAAGCAGAGTTAAATAAGTTAGACCAATTTTCTCGGGTGCCTCTAGTAGCCTGTTTCAAATATATTTTCGAGGAAAATACAATGTGAATTTCATTCTTGGTCCTGGGTTCCTTGTCTTAGTGCCTCTCTTCCACTCCCTTACCGTGCAAACCATGTGTCACACCAGCTAACATTAGCTTAGAAATGGAATCCAGTTAATTGAACTCGACCAATATATTTTCCTTTCACTATTTTTTCTGCCTATGTGTTGCCTGTTGTGTGCTGATATGAAAACTTTTTATAAAATACAATGCATAAAAAGGTCAAAAGTTATTTCTCCAAAAACTGCATGCATTTATTTCTTAAAGTCATTTTTGATATGAAAGAATATATGAAGGCAGTGTTTTGGGTCTCATTCATTTTCCCTCTCTTAATTTTAAACTAGCTTGTCTCTAATAGAATGGGCTCTCTGGTGAGATAGCTTCAGAAAACCAACACTCACACATAATTTCTGAGGTTATGGTGTGATATTAATTTGTTAAGCCTCATATAACACATCGCAAGATACTGATATCAGAGTTCTTGTTGGTTTGAGGTAACTGTCTATGTTCTGTGGACTTTGTTTAGAGGAGCAGAGACACATCTAGCTTGTTATGATTGTGTCATGTCCTGCGACTGTCGATCAAAATCTATTCTCTAAACCAATAAGATGTAATAACACAATGTGATTGAAATCGCATTAATGGAGGGTTGTTTTGGTGGACTCCACAGCTTTTAGTAAAATTGTATATGGATTTTTTCATTTAACAATATTTTTTGTAGCTTTGTTTTTATAAGGGAGCTCTTGAGTCACACGCCCTGTTTCTGTTGCTAGGAGCTAATGCCCCGGCTAGCCAGCAGGCCATGTCTCTGCAGTTCGCTGCTCGCTGCCCGTCCCCTGTGTTTGTTACTCTCCACCCTTCCCTGCCTGTCTCCTCCTTCACTCTCCTATATCCCACCTCCACCTCCCTTCCCTTCTCTGCCATATCCCAAAGGGCCGAACTCACATGCGTGCATGAGTATGTGTGAATGGAAACAGTGGTCATGAGAAAGAGATGAGGCAAAAAGAGATGGATCTTTTAAAGGAGAGAGTGAGGTGCTGAGATGCAATCAAGGGTATTTTAAAAAGACTTGATCAGGGGCTGCAGAAACATATGGAGGGTATGAGGATAGAAATGGAAAGTAGAGAATGACGTGTCCCACTGTCTCTTTCTCCCCCCCCCCTCTCCCTATTTGTCCAGGGAGCTGTGATCGGCATTGATGACGAGGACGACAGCACATTCACCATCACTGTGGACCAGAAGACTTTCCATTTCCAAGGTGAGGTGTCCCTCTTTTAATTTTCACTTCTCTTTTTTGCCTCTCCCCTTTCTCTACGCTTGTCTTTCCATCACTGGCTTCCTCTCTCTGTGATCTCTTCACGTCCATCCCTGCTGTCCATTTGCTCTCTCACTTTCTCTCTCTCTCTCATGCCTCTTTCTCTCCCCGCCTTTTAAAGACTTGGATTGGTCTGCTCTAATGCCAGGAAACACATGCACACAGGCATCCACACAATGTCAAAGCATGCTACACGCATTCGGGTCTTTTCTCCCCTCCTGTGGAACCCTTCCAAGCTCCGTGAAGTTGGACTGATGTGTATTTTTTTAGATAAACAAGACCTGCTCCACTGCAAGCTAGACAGATTCCACTGGAACAGAACAAGCAAGTAAGGCTATTTTTCCCCCTTCGCTTGACTGTGGCTGAGGAGGAAGATTGCTGCTTGTGTGCAGATGAGCCTCTGGGAGTAATAAGGGAATACTGCTGAGCTGGAAGCTGAGCTCAGGTCTCTTCTTGTTGCTGCCGCTGTTCGCCCTTCGGTACGCTGCTGCCACCGCTCTCTCTAACAACCAGTCGTTCCATAGGGACAGGATTGTCTCCCAGCTACAGCATCGGTGCCCCCCTCCCTCCCTCCCGTCCTGCAAACCCTTCTTTTTCACAGGGAGCTGTCCAGTCCAGTGCCCCACAGACATCCTTTTTTTTTTTTTTTTGCTCTATCACGCCACCAGGTCTTTTACAAACCTCCTCCACCTCTGTCCTCCCATCTGTCCATTTGTATCCATCACCAAACCCCCTCACACATCACCACCTGCACCCTCCTTCACCTTCTTCTTGAGGGTCACCAGCCACAGTCCATGGGCCCCCCTCCCCTCACACCTCCTCCATGCCCTCTCCCATGTCTGTGTTCCGAAGCTGTATGCTGTGGTTCTACAAACGCAAGGGTAAGGAGAAAACCATGCACGTCTCATGGTCCACATGCATGCCAGTGCAGAGAGCAAATGGATCGAGCAGGCGTTGTTAGTTTGTCTTCTGGGATGTACAGTCAGGGTGGAGCAGCATGCTTCGTAACACTCGGCTGAATTGGTTTGTTATGGAGGTTCAAGGACAGTTCAGAACCAGGCGAATCTAAACTGTAGCCTTTAGTAGCCTTCAGGCAGCTGTGAAGTATTACGGAGGGAAGAGTCTGATCAGTGTTCCATGTTAGTCATATGTTTGTACAGACTGTGTATTATTTTACAAAAGTTATGTGCTCTGACTAATGTTTGTTCTGCTCTTCACATGCTTTAGCTAAACAATGATGTAATGTCCTTTTCCCTCAGGAAGGTCATAGTTTGTAACTGTATTTTGCTGGTGTTGCGTTGGTTGAATGTTATCTAAATGAGCTGAGTCTGAGAGGCTTCTACGTGAGTGAGAGAGGAGGATAACATCAGCAAAGTATGCTAATGCTATTCTGATTAGAGTCCAAATTTGAGAGCATTATTTAAATCCGTCAAACAGGGTATTAATTTCTGGCAGGGTGTTTCCTAAAAAGGCAACAAAGACAATAAACATGTGTTGTAAAAAAAATTACCCAATAAATTTAGAATTTGAAAACACAAAGTTATTATTTTTTCACCCAAAGACACGTAAATGCTAAGTGCTACTTTTTGCTTCAATAAAGCAGCATGTCCTTACAATGTCAAGACACATCTGCTCTCCAGATATCCCCACAGGACAAACGGGCAACACATTAACACTAACTGTATGCTGAACATTAGATTCTGGATACATCAGCGGGTTTCTCAGACATCAGGATGTTGGGCAGGAGGACATATCTCTGTTGTTGTAAAACGATCCTGATCTAAGCATGTTATGCAGTCATTGCCCCATTCACAGCAATGTCTGAATGTGTCTTTTTATACACATAAAAAAACATGGTAAAACAGGCCTTCGAGTGAATGAATTTGAGCTGCAATTTTCTTATCCTCCCATATCTCATCCTCCCATAACCCCCATCTGAGAATGCAACTGTCTTCATCTACTTGTCAGAAGTTTTGTTTGGTAGTGCATCAGTAGACGGCTCACAAGTTACTGTAATGAATAGTTTTCTCTTTCTCTCATTCTTCAGACTTCAGTCTATTCGATCTCATTGTCTGTGATGTAATTCTTGGCAGTTTGACATATTTTCTCCCTGGTTTATTTCTGCAGTAAAGACATCATAAGACGTTAAGTCATGTCCACTCTTCGAGAATTTATGTTGGAGCAGCCTTCATAAACTGCTGCTGATTAACTCTGAAAGACTATAAACAGACTTGCTAGCCCAGCAACCTTGCGGCTACAAATAACCCATAATGCAACACTGACCACACTTTTACTGGTACTCTCCGTTAAAAAAAAAATAGCCTGTTATAATGACATTCTAGTCAGATAAAAATAAATTGTGTTATATTAGGGCCAGTAGGTATCTTTCTTTTCCAGAACAATGAGAACTCAAAGTCCTGTGCCTACGTCTTATAATGAGTGGGCTGGGGCATGTTCAAGATTTGGATTGTGGAACTCGCTGAGCATCACTGCCAAGACTAAGAGAAGTAAAAAGAGGCACAGTGGATGAAGTGATATAATTTATCAGTGTTTTAAGTTCTAGGGACCAAAACATCTGCTGATACACATCATTATCAAAGTGTGTTTGTGTTGTGGTATAAAAAAATGATCATTCTTCTTGACAATTGCTCTTATGGGACATGTTGGTGTGTAGTTCTGAGCACTGTGCTTGCCTGGAATGCAGCTCTGTGCTGTCTTTCTATTTAGAGAAGCATTCATTATTTATCAGCCCATCTTCCCCCAGCAGTGCATCAGAGTTGTTTGAGAGCCCTTCAGCTTCCCCTTTTCCTCTTTCCCCCTCTCTGCTCTCAATCACCCCCTCTTATCTACAGTAGCTATCAATCTTTTGTCTTCTCCTCCTTTTCTGTCAGGCTGCCTAGTCCAGGATAGGAGACCTGTATATTGATAAAAATGTTGCCATGTGCAGATCCCACATCCACAGCAATAAGATGTGTGCATTTTCCCTTTTTGCCACAAAGTTGGAGATAAAACAGCTTGCATGAAATTAAAAAAAGATTTTAGCGGATACTTTTCCCACCAATGCATCATGACTTCATTGACCACAGATTATATTCATATTAAAATGTTCTGCTCAGCGCATTTGGGTAACTACAAGGTCACAGTATTGACAGGTAGTTGTTCAGAGCATTAAACCTTCCGACCTACCCCTGCATGTATTGCAATATTTCATCAGCTTGTCTGACGATGGCAGGAACAGGAGAAAGAGGGAAGGAATGAATAACTGACAGAGAGGCCTTGTGGAGAAGGTAGGAGCATCACTATGGGGAGAGGCTGAGTGTCGTAGAGATGGATTCCTCCAGGAAAACACCACTGGTGCTTTTAGGTGCTTTTGTTACTTTATCTGGACATAGCATTTGTCAGTGTGTGTGTGTGGTAACTGTACTATTGGGATCTCTTTTTGTTTACTTGAATATTATAGTAGGTTTTGCAGTCTAGGGGACTATAACTACTTAATTAAATAATAATAATAATAAAGCTGACATCCAATACAATCTGCCAGATGTCAGGCATTTATAGTCGACAGTGTATCAGCATACTGGACCAACACTGAAATTACATGTGGAAATAAGCTGATGCCAGCAATATGTTGGTAGTATTTGCATTTAAACACTGGCAGGTCATACTCTGTATCTAAAACATGCATCATTGTATCAAATGCCAAGTTGTCCACAGATTTGGATGGCACAATATCCTTTGCCAGATAGAACAGGAAAGCATCAGTCATCTCTTTTCATAATTTGCTGCACATATTGGATATTTCCACTGCTCTAAAGCATCAGCCGGTGAGACCTGTTCATGTTTCAGGGACTCGTGAGATACAGATGAGTTGTCCTGACCTGAGTTAAACACTTGTTTCTTCAGATGCTTCCTTTTCAAAGTAGATGAATAGATTTGCCCTCTGTTGCCCAACAAGGTTTACAGAAAAAAGATTTTTTGGAGAAATATTAGACTGTGCATAGCCACACCTGAACTGATGTTGAGTACTTTCTTGGCACCAGTTCCTCATCCACCTTGCTGCCAGCCCAAATTTTTTTCAAATGCCTCACACATGATAGAAAACATATAAAAAGTCAAAATATCCCAGATATGAACGCTACCGTCTTGCACTGATGGCACTGAAGTCAGAGTCTGCAGCAGTAGCATTCGGGGGATGGAGCCACTGTATCGTGGTCTCACCAGTACACACACTCGACCAATCCTGAGCCGGTCTCAGCTGTCAATCATGAAGTTTCACCCAGTTTTTATAGTAACAACTAAGTTAAAAACCAAGCTACATCGGTGTGATAAGAACTACCTAAAATGACAGAAATCATATTTGAGAAAATGTATTTGACTTCTACTTTTTAGTTTAAGTTTTAGTTTAAATGTCAGAAAATGTCACTGTCTCTCTGATTGGCTTAAAATGTTGTTGTTGTTTGAAAGACTGATCATAATGTCAAATGTCCCGCCTTTAGCTATGACACTTAAAAGTTGGCCTTTGAGGCTGTTGCACTCTGACAGGGTTGAAAAAGCATCATAAAACTGTAATGTCAGGTTTGTGCAGAAGTAAAGGAAAACATTTTAACGTGGTGACTTTTGGACCCTTTTGTTCCCCCTTCCCATTACAATTCATTGTACTAAACGGCCTGTTACAACCCTTTTCACAATAAAGGATGAGTACTGTGAACCTGTAAAATCTCCATATCTTATCTGCCCACTGAGAAAATGAGTGAAAGACAGAGTATTCTAGATTCAACCAACATTCTCTATTGCTCCAGCGTCTTTTATATATGGGAGATCTGTCATCCTACTATCCTTCTGACAAACCCTCATTAGATAGCAGGACTACTGTTATACACTGTTATAAAAACCCCTCCCCATCAATACAAGCACTACTATTCGTACTAGTATCTACTCTTCACTCCCCCCTTCAGGCTCCACATTATTGATTACAAATCAAGGGTAGGTGGTCCTAACCCTTTGAATGCTCTCTTTAAAGGTGCTTAAGAATAAAACGTTTAATTATAACTATTAGTTGTTGTAGTAGTGATAGATCTATCTATATGTGCTGTCTAAATGATGAATTAAATAACTTTTATTTGGTTTTCTACCTTTTATGGTGAACTGCATAATGCTCTGTTTTGTAAGATATTATAAAAGATATTCTTTTTTTAATATATAGGATGCATAAAGACGGAGTTGGCTGTTAATGTAGTAAATCTATAAACTAGCCAGTAATCTGGAGAAAGCCTGGGAGAAAGGTGTGTCTTCTCCTTTTCTTTTTTCCCCCCACATGTTTTCTATATGTTACACTAGAATAAGATGTATGCGTTTGTAAATAAGGGACGTCTGGTAATCCCAAGAAGGGATGGGCCAATACCTTAGTACAGGAATAAAGAAATACATGAGGTTAATGTGCCAGCTTAATTTACTGATTGTTTGAATGTTTAGTTGCAGATTCATGGTTGAGGTTCTTGTGAGATGACAGCCACAAACATGCTGTGTCCTTCCATGTGACTTGCCCACTTACTCACACCTACCTGGAAAAGTAAACTGTGGTATATTTGAGCCACAGATGAGGACAAAGATCTATTCATACAGTTACAGTATTTGTTTTTAGTTGAATGGCCCTGCAACCACTACCTCTCCTCAGTCATGAACCAAGTGAAACAACATTAGCCACAGTAATCTATTCCTGTGGAGAGTCTGGCTGAGGGGGAACGTGAGAGGGCAGCGAGGCGCTGTCTGAGTGGATTGGCCTGAACCTCGGCTGCCTTTTAATGTCTTTAAAAGCTTTTCTGCCGTGGCACTGCTCAGCCTCTCTGCTAGCACAGCCATTCATCTGCTGCACACTCTTGTTTCCAGCTCAATGAAAAATGACTCCTTCACAGGATATAGTTTGGCAGGTAATTCAGGGGGCATATATCTTCATAGTTCTTCTTTCACAGCTTTTAGAGCTATAGGTGTGTGTCTGTAGTGGCCTCCCTCCATACGCACAGTAAAGGAGATGTTAAGCCACATGTCACAAGAACTGAAAACCTTTAAATGCTTGAAAATATGTGTCCATGTTCGCCATTGGCACCAAAAATCGTCCTTTACAGTGTGTGTGCTGGTGCATTATAATTGGTCACTGTTTAATGTCACTGGCTGTGTGTTTGTTCTCTGTCTTTGCTGTGAGACTGCAGCCTTGCCCTGCTCCATTTCATTAAGTATAAAGTCATATGCTCTTTCCAAAGGTTATACTTCTTCTATTCATACACATTATTTTGGCTTGATGTATTTTCCATTCAACAGCTTATTGGAGGGAGGGGTTGAATATATCTCATACAATCACCATCTATGCGTCACAGACTTTTCCCCAAACAATTCTCTCTAGAGTTTTGTCTCTCTGGTACTTTGTTCACTCACCAAAAATTGGAGTGCTTGTTCAGTGTTTTTATAATTAATCAAATATTACCTGTGATAAATCACTTAACATGTATGGTTAGTTGCTGCATTATCTCTTATCTTTCTCAGAATTAATTGTCTAATTAAATCTATCATATGTAGGTCTTACTTCTCCACGCCCTGTGACATCCTGACTGGATTATCGTCATTCATTATTATCAGACTGCCAAAACAAGTCTCTAAAGATTCTGTAGTTGATTCAAAATGCTGTAGCATGAGCACTGATAGGATTTAGGAAAGAAGACATGTGCTAGTCTCACTGCACAGGTGCCATGTATAGTCTAGAATTGTTTTTAAAATCCTCCTCCTCATATCCTAAGCCATAAATGGTTCTACACCATCACATCTTAAAGAGCACGAACACTGTGCTGCCCGATTGCAGTTTCCATCTGGCTCTAGTTTCTCCTTCCTGTTTGTATCCTGGTTGGCAGACATCATCTCCACCTCAGGATTAAAACTTTCCTTATTGCTAAGGACTGTACTTAGGGTCGTCAGAGGCTACTTGAACCTTCCTCTTGCTATAGGCTTTATATGCTGGGGGATTTCCCTTGATGCACTCTTCTGTCTCTCCATCATTATTGCATGTAGTAAGTTAGCTTGTTCTCACTCCCTCTCATAGTTCTGTGCTTTCTATGAGTCTCAATTTGTGATTGCAAACCACCTACCGCCCCTATGATCTTGCTCAACACCTACTGCTACTAGTATTATTAATATTATTAATTTTTATCTTATCATTAGTGTCAATTATATTTTTTGCTATAGTCATATTATTCTCAGGTGTGTCAATATCAGTTTAGTCATTAATTATGGGTTCTTCTGTGTTTATGTGAATGTTTCATTGTGCTAAGTCTAATTGACTTTATTTAGATTTGTTCATGCACAGTAGCACAGCTAAATAATTGCCAAATTCCAGGCTGCAGCATTAACAAGCTTTATTCATAATTTTGAAGCAATAACACTAAATTCAACATTTTGGGCATCTCACTTATTTGCTGTCTTGTTGAGTGTTCTATGAGAAGATTGACCATTCACTCTATCATAGATATGAAGCCACAACTAAAGGTGACGGTAAGCTTAGTTTAGTACAGTGGCCCAGAAGCAGTGTAAATAATAGAAGCCTACTCTTAACCAGGATAACGTTCCTGGAGTATTTCCTGGCAGATAATTTAGCTCATAACCACAATAAAACCACAGTCTGGCACTTGTACACTTTTACATTTTTTTTCATGGATTTATCAAACAATATAAAATGTGTTATGTATTGAGGTTAAGAGGTTGCAAATGTGTGGTTTTTATTACCTAGTGGATTTTTATACCTTTCAGCCAGGCCCTCTGCTGCCAGTCTTTGTGTTAAGCTAAGCTAACCAACTGCTTCATGTTTAATAGACAGACACAAGAGTGGTGTCAATCTCCTCACCTGACGTTCAGCAAAAAATAAGCAATAAACATGTATCCCAAAATACCAAAGTCCCTATTTAAAGCTCCATTTAACCTCCTGATCTAAAAGATTTTCTTTTTGTCTTTTTTTTCTTGTTTTTTTAAATGTACGTTTTCTACAGCTAAAATGCTCATTCTTTTCCTCTTAATATTTTAAAAATGGTCTATACGCATAAAGATTGTGGTTATTTTGTTATTTGTGTAAGTACAATCCATCCCTAAACATGTTGTATCGAGCAAGATAGTTTTTTTTTATTATACACTGTTTCCATGTCTGCGTTACCAGTGCTCATGTCTTTTCACTGTTGTGCCATTGATGTGTAGAACATATGTGAAGGCTGTTGATGGTGTCTGTGTGGAAAACTTTATTCACTGGGTTTGTCTCTGCCCTCAGCCCGAGATGCAGATGAGCGGGAGAAGTGGATCCATGCCTTAGAGGGAACTATCCTGCGTCACACCCTCCAACTACGAGTACGTAGCCTTATTTGCATGTTTTTGTGTATGTGTTATGCATATGATTCTGTGTGTCAAATCCATCCAGGATATTTACAATAAAAAGTCGTTTAGCTGTGGGCCTCAATCAGCGACCGTAGTTGTGGTTAATATTTATCCTAAGCAAACATGCTCTTGTTTGAATTACCAGAAGAGGATATTGAAATAAATAGTGTGAAGCCTGAGGACTGTGGAACTCTGAAGTGAAGGTAAATGTTACCTTGATATCAAGAGCTTTTAATTGAGGGATTTTTATTGAACCTCCGATTCCATTCATTTGATAACACTGTGATCACAACTCTCATTTGATGACATCAGGGTGACACTTCTCAAGTGTTATCAGCACCTTGATGCTGTGTCTCATGCTTGTCCCTGATTTTTTTTTTGTCTGCTGATCAGAGAAGGTGAGTCATTGATGAGTCATATTGGAATGAAAATAATTTAAGGAGCAACATCTTTATACCATATGATGATGCATGATTGGTGAAATAAGATTTAGATGGTGTCTTTTCTTATTGTTATCCATGAATTACAACATTATATGACATCATTTCCTGACTTCATATTGACATTATGATGATGACATCTCTACTATATGACCAAAAATTCTCTATTAATTATTTCATTAGCTTTAGGTTGTGTCTGTAGTCCTAAACAATGCAGAGTTTCCTGGAAAAAAGCATTTTTAAAATACAGAGACTTAAGATCGTTTCTCTATTATTTGCGGAGATATCTTGGCGTTGTTTCTCGGGAACGTACATTTTACTGATCAGCTCCGAAAGTTGTTCATCTGGACATACCCTCCTGCCAAGTGTAGGGAAAGCGGTGTTTGCCTCTCACACGTAAAGAAACACAGCAGGAAATAATCTGCTCAGATGCGTTAACAACACAACACAGAAATCTCCAGAGTGCTCAGGTGAGGGGTGGTGCAGCAGGCACACCCACAACCCTTCATGCTGAGGATCCCCTGCTGTGTTCTCACATCGGCTCATTCAGACATTCTGCTGAGTTTTTACAAGGGGGCTGGCTGAAGAAACTCCAGAGAAAGTCCGCAGGCTCTCAACCCAACATTTGCATTCTCGCATAAGAATGTCTGGAGATACTCTGGAGTTCAGTGCTTGACTGAAACCAGCTTGAGTCTGGTAAAGGAGCCATGATTTTTAGTTTATAAGAAAGATCATTTAACTGCTGATTTGCTGGTGATATTTTTGTCCCACTGATGTTTGTCTTTGTTTTTTCCTTGAAGGATGTTTATTGTACGTGGGAGTATTGAGTGACTTTGTTAGCTGTTTCCATGTCCAGCTTTTTGTCCCTGCTGTCCTTCTCGAAACCAGTGTCTTTTTTCTTATTCATTATCATCATTACCTATTTACAGTTCTTCCCACCCATCTCCTCCATTTCCCCCTCACGACCAGACTTTTAGTTTGCTCACCCTCCCTCCCACCCACCCTCTTTCCTTTTTCCGCCGCCCCTCCCTCTGTGGTAAATCCTTCTGATGTGCTACGTGTGCCTGCTTGCTCACACACACATAGACTCCGTCAGACGACATGTGACCCAGCAGTAGCCAATCTGAGACCTGCTTGTTTGATCAACCAAACATCTTTCACTGCCACAGCCAATCGGTTCGCAATGTTGGTGCTTGTCCCTCTGCTGCTGATTTGTGTGTTTTCTCCTCTGCCTGCATGAGAGGAAATGTGCCTTTCCTGCCAGGGGAGGGTCCTGGATTAACTCTGCTCTCTCTGCCTCATACCAAACACTCAGCTGATAACTGCTGCCGAAGGATATATTGTAGCCGGACTGGCTGCCCTGCTAACGCACAGTCTGAAGGCTGCTGTGGTTTACATTGGCAGACTGCAGTGGGGGAACAAGAAGGAGATTGTTTTCTGTTTCTGTGTGGGGGTAGGAAGAGAGAGAGAGAACGCTAACTTTTACAAGCTGGTGGTTTTGTTGCCGGAGGAAAAACAGAAGAAGAAAAGGCAGAGAAAGAGAGACAATTTTTTGTTAGGCTAAATGGCCCAGTGGGAGAGATGCACACGGTTTTAACGCAGCATGTCCATTGGAGGGAGGCACCCAGTAAGTAAAACACACAAACACCACTGCACTATAGCAAGGAGTTAAACGGCTGCAGTGCGCTTCCTGTAGGGGCATCAGCATGTTAAACTGGGTCACTGTGCATGGAAAGACAAATAGAAATGGAGGGGGGGAAGGTGCAGGAGCAGTGTTGTTGAGTCTGGGTTGGTTGGGTGGGTGGGTTTGTTAATGTTTACGTGGGAGGGTTTGCACACTGCTCTGAATCATTCCCACTATTTCGCACACACACCAGCAGGAGTGAGTGGGAGAGGAGACGTCTGGGAATATTTCAGGAACAGCAGAGAAGTGAACAGTGTGACGTGGTGTTACAGTGGCTGTTTATAAAACCAGCCACCTGCCTCCAATTTTCTGCTTCAAACTTATCGGCTCTGTCTGCAGAAAACACTCCAGTAAGTGTGATGACAAAACATGAGGCGCTTGGTAATTACAGGGACTCTGTTTGTTTTTTTCTGTCCTGGTTTGTTTTCATCGTGTCAGCTTCAAATTCCGGCTTTAATTATTTTTCGTCTTACGTTTTTTTTGCCATATGCTCAAGCCTATGACAGTTGCATACATGGATATACAAGCAGGTTGTGATTCAGCTCTTCTAGAGATTTGCACATAGATTTTTTTGTGCTTCATAGATTTATGTTTTAAGGTGTTAGTGTGCTACTCTTTGAATACTGTCATGTTGGAGCGGGTGTCCTGATTGTTGTTAATCTTCACTGTAACACTTCAGTTTAAAGGAGATAGATGTTACGTTGTGTTTTTAACATCTACTTCCTGTATGTTCAAAGGTGCCTGTGTGGCTCTGTGTTGCTTTTGTTGAGGTAAAAATTATCATGATGTAATTCCTCCCTAAAAATATATCAGTGTTTTTCCAGTGTAATATGAGTAAGGAGCCAAACACACAATTTGCTGACACATCCATTGTTTTCCGTTTTGATTTTTGCTCAGGCCCTCATGTGGACAGCTACTCCTCGGTCACGCTGACAATGAAAGCACCTTTGATCCTTTTGAGGAAGTTTGGCCAGTTACCATCAGACTTCATAGCTGCTGACTTAACTCAGACTTTGTTCTCTAGAAAGCTACAATGTTTTTCCAGTTTAAACTTTAGCAGTTCTCAGGCTGGGACATCTGCAAACAGCAGTTTGGCTGTTAATGGCTTTTCTTCACGTTCCTGTGAGGTCGTCTTTAGCAGGAGGAAAAGCCCCCTCAAAGTCAGACCACAACAGGACTGTGTGCCACAGCAAGTCCGAAGCAGCGGTAGCATCAGTCATGGTTAGATAAACAGAATGATTTACTAACAACACATCTGTTTGATTCTAAACTGCTTTTTCCGTGTTAGAGTTACAGCTGTGCAGCAGTGAACGGTGCTGCAAGATGTTCGTCATCAGACTGGTTTGGCGTTGAGTTTTTATTTTGTTGTCACTAGTCCAGGGTGTCTTTTCTCTTTACAGGCCCCAGCTTTATATATGGGCTGATTTTTGAAGGAAGGCATTTATGCGTGCGTGTGCATTTTCATTTTCCTGCTTTTGGTTTCGTGTCACAGTCGACCAGATTGTTATGGGTGCTCGAGTGAGCTCAGACAGATAGAGACAGATGCTGGGTCACATCTGCTCTGCCAATTGTGGAGTAATTACCTTTTAATGGATATTATGTAATGAAATTGTCTGTGCCTGTGTGTGTGGTTGGAGTATGTGTCCTATTAAGGGGACATAATTAACAAACTATGTATATGAGTGAGACACAACCCATTTACACACACTTCTCTGTCCGTAACCGAATGAATTCCAGCCTTAGGTTTCCTGATGTAGGTTTTGTTGAAGCCTGACATTCGCTGGCCTCCAGTCAGGCAGACAGACCTGCTGGCCTTTCATGTCAACCAGGCTTTAAACAATAGTATTCATATCTACAACAGTACAGTACATTGCTGGAAAATTCTCTGAACTGTTGATGTTTCTGTCCGACATTTACAGTTACAAACCCTACCTGACCAGGCGGTGACAGACCCAAGCCTTTTCTAATCAATGGATGGTTTCCCTAAATTAATCTATGGATTACATGTAAATTATACATGTGTGGATATGCAAAATACCGACATGGTGTTTTAAGTGGATTTGATTATTGCTGCTCTGATACTCAACTGTGTTTGTCTCTTTCATCCTCAGGAGGCCGAGACAGGATTTGTTCCGAGCGTTCAAGACTTTGATAAGAAGCTCGCTGAAGCTGATGCCTACCTGCAGATTCTGATTGACCAGTTGAAGGTAGGACTAGATATGGAAACCTCTGTGTATCCTTATCATTTCATTTGTAATGATTCACAACTTCATAAAGATTTAAAATATATATCGTCCACCACTCACATTTATGTGTTCAGTTAAAGATCCTGATGTGGTCCATTTGAAAAAAGTCCACGTTCCACGTATATGGCACCTCGCTTTCCGCCACATTATCTGAAGCCACGTCCTCTGTGCTCATTTCACCATGGATCCGTCTCAGCTCATGTTCCATTTCTCTTTTTCCCCCCTCCCACACAGCTGTTTGATGAGAAGATCAAGGACTGCAAAGAGGATGAATCACGCAGAGTGAGTACCAGCAGAGCTGCTCTGTCCTTGTGTCTTGGCTTTCTGGTTTGTGTTCTCTCTGTCATTAGAGCAGTGGCTCACAGCAGGGAAACATGCTGACACACAGAGCTGGAAAGGAAAGATGATGGCGATCATAGCTGTCAGTTTGATAGCTTGATATATGTAGTTTGTCCATTTTAAGTCGTCATAATATGTTTAAAAGGTAAAAACCTTTTAGTACATTATGACCTGGTTCTCAGCATTTCAATATTTGAGAAACTAACAAAACAGTTTTCGACAAAAGATTGTAATAGCCTATTTGAGACAGACACGCAGACACATTTTCTCTGATCAACTGTTAAAAACCAAAAGATACTTAGTTTACAATTATATAAAACTGAGAAGGGCAACAAATCTCCACATTTGAGAAGCTGGGACCGCACAATGTTAAGTGTTGTGGTATAATTAATAACATGACAGCTAACCTAAAAGTGAAGCCAAAGCATCTTTATTGCCACTTGGTGACTGGTTGCTGTGTTGGTCATAAATCCTCCATGTTAGTGGATGGGACATGAGCCAAACTTAAAAGTACACATCAAATAAATATTATACTCACAGATTTCTGTCATTTTAGGTATTTCTCATTACACTGATGTATTTTCATGTGCACATTTTTCCAGTAAGATTGGTTTATTTGATGCTATAAAAATGGGATGAGACGTCTAGTGGTTGGTCAAACAAATGTCTTGATGTATTTTGTGAAGCACAACCTTGTTTAAATAAGTTCTACACAAATAAAGTTATCATTATTATTATTGTTATTACTATTATTATTATCATCGACTTGACTTTGATACTGCAACTCCATCCCTGATTGTTGATTCTGGCTCCAAATGTGGAAGATGGCAGAGTACACATCCAGAATATTTCGGCTTTATTTCTTGACAGTGGGAGGAAGAAGACATTTGGTCGATCTTTATTCACTGTCAATGGGTTAAACATAACAGTTGCAATTCTTGTTTTTGCAGCTGCTCGAGTCCTTTCAGAAAGTCTTTTCAGCTTCGTTGAAGGAAACTGCTCAGTTTCAGGATGTATTAGTAGCCTCTCTGGGTTTTTGTTTTTTTACCAGGAGCAATGTGATTCACTTCCTCTCTGACGACTCTGTTCTTTATCACTTTGGCTTTTCCTTGTAACCAGTCTGTTACTGTCTCATAGGAAAAAAAAGGAACAGAAAGGCTGCTTCATCTAGTTGAGGATTATCACCTTGATGCTTTATACAAATTGTTTATGAGCTGTTAAACTGGCTGAACCAGCACCTCTGCTTTTGAGGCTTGTATTTGTTTTTACACTGCTGTTTATTTAACAACCGTCTTTTCTTTTTTCGCAGAAAATTGAAAATTTGAAAGAGACTACTTGTGTAAGTCAGAACTTAAACACGTGTTTATTCTTGTCGTTCAGTTTCTCTGAGCTCTTGGTTAATAAATTCTGTTTTTCTCTTTCAGAGTATGGTAGAGTCCATCAAGCACTGCATTGTACTGCTGCAAATCGCAAAGGTAAAAGCAATACCCTGCAGCTCGGTCTGCCATCTCACTATAATCATTGTTTTTGTGAGACCACAGCAGCGTACACTGTTACTTTATGTATGTGTGTGTGTGTTTGTGGGATAGTTCACTGCTTACGGTTGCTGTCTGAGCCAGTGGTTGATGAGGGTGTAGCGCAGTATTTGTTTCATCACATGTTCCATTCAGCCCTTCTGAAAGGAAATGGAGCAATCGTTTCTGCTTCAAGTGGTTGTTAGTAAAACTCAGAACGATTTTCCCCGGAATAAGAGTCGAGGAAACACGTACAGACAAGACCAGAAGTATTTGGACACAGGACAGTTATCTTTGTTTATGTTCTGAGCTTCAATGCATTCAATTTAGAATAAAATAATGTATAAACAATAAATCTCAACTTTAGTTTTAGTAGGTTTAAATCAATATACAAAGCACTGTGGGAGAGATAAAGTGTCTGAATTTTAGAGGTTCAAAAGCAATTAGACACTTGGCTATTAAATGTGTCTTGAGTTTTGATATTTTGATTAAATGAGTCCACATCACACTTTTGGAGTTTTAGGGGTAAACAGTGTAGCAGCCAATTCCAATATAATTGAAGTAAATGCTGACCACTTCTTCAAATGTAAAAAGAAAAAAAGGCTTCCATACTGCTCCTGTGGTGTCATCCAAGTGTTGGAGGATCACATCTGCTGATGAGGTCAAATACTTAATACAGGTATTGAGTGCAAAATATTTTCCTCAAAGTATTAAATTTGATCTTTCTTTAATCCACATGTATCTGTCCAATTACTTTTGAGCGCCAAAATTATGGGCACTGTGTTTAAAGGGCCACAGCTCCCACACTGATTTTTCTCTGTAGGCCGTTTTCACTGCAGACCTTTTGACAAATCACAGAAGAAATAAAATGGCTGAATTCCATTCAGGGTCCTGGTATTGTACATGCTGGCTCACTGGGCACAGACAGTGTTTCTTACTGGAACACTTGAACAGATCCATTGTTAATGTTATCAGTAACCCATGAGCTTTTCCTCCTAACACTAACAAGCCAAAATGTCTGCAATGAAAGGTTTACTATTGATATAAACCCACTTTACTGCAATATGAAATTATTTATTTCAATGTGCAGAAGCCCAGAAATCAAACATGAGTAACTGTCCATATACTTAGTTCACTTTACAGATTGGAATGAATGAGAAATCCCAGCATTACTGATTATGAAAGGAACGACAGGGGATTTTACCATGTGATGAAAGGATTACTGCATGTGGCAAGTTAGTGAATTTTATGACGCACCATGTGATAAGAGGGGATGGGTGTCCCTGCTCTGGACACCACAGATGCTCAGGATGCTTTATGAAATGCCTCGTCCTACACCAGTAGTCTAACATTGTCTTCTCAAAATTTTAAGGACCAAAGTAACGAACAGCAACACGCAAACGGACTTATAGTAAGTTTGACGTCCTCTGTCCACAACAAAAATTCAAATCAAGTAAACTGCTAACTTTCTTTTCTGGCTCAATCGACTTTCCACTGTAGAGCAGCAGATGAATCAGATCTCTGTAGTGCATGCTGACTTATTTAGAGATAAGCTTTATCTCAAGCTCTTTTCCCTCACGTTTGCCACCTCTGTCCTTCTTAATTAAGTTCCTAATTTACTGATTTCATCTGGGATTTTCAATTCTTTCTGTGATGGTGGGGAACTATTCTTTTCTTCATCAAGATAAACAATGTGTGCGTGTGTGCGCGTGTGTGTGTGTTTGCTAGAGAAAATGTGTATGTGTAGATGGACTACATATGTGTGTTTGCATGCCTATATGTGAGAGATTATTGCATTTCACCCACTAATTCACCATTGATTTATTGAGTCCACACTGCCTGCTTATTGAACTACTGAGCACTAATGACTGGAAAGCCATCCAGAGAACACTTAACTCGATCTGCAGGCCTTCTGTCTTTATGTCAGAGGCCATATCTGAGTTTTGCATGTTGCATGTCATCTACAGCACGTTTATTTTATCAGTTGATTGTTTTCTGAAGCATTTAGGTTTTTAGATTTATTTATTTTCTCAACTTCAAGGTAACCATTGTTTTTATTAGATGGATAAACTGTCACAGAAAACGTTGTCTTCTTTACTTCAAGTAACATTACATTCATGTCTTAAAGGTTCAGTGTGTAGAATTTAGTGGTGAAGTTTCATCTTGCAGCTGAACACCCCTCACGTCACTCTCCCATTCCAAACATGAAAAACAACCTGTTGTTGCCTTCATGTGTCATAAAAACACAAAGGTTATCTAGTTTGTCCAGTTTAGGCTACTGTAAAAAACATGGCAGCCTCCGTAGAGAGGACCCCCTCTAGATGTAAAAATAGAGTATTTCATTATAAAGAGGCATTCTAGGGTAAAGAAAACTACAATTGGTTAGATGACATACACTAGTGAAAATTCACTAGGATTATTTCATATTCTGTGATTTTAGAGTAGGGATGGGAAATAATTACCCAAGTCTAATAACACTGTCACGCATGTCCATTTTTGCATGTTACTCACTGTTGAGCTGCTTTCAGACATGCAATGAACACCCGATAGTCTCCTGAAATTATCTGGAGGGGCTGTATGAGAACGCAAATACTGGAGTCAGATGCTCCGGACATTCTGTGGAGACTTTTCTGTGAGCCCCTAGTAAAAGCTCTGGAGAATGTCTGTCATATTAGAAACATCATGAACTTGCCCACTAGCTCGCTCTCACATGGGCACATTTAGATGCAAAACTGGAAAAAAAAACTTAAATAATACAAATATGTGGGACAGAAAAGGAGGAGCCACACACAGAAGACACGGTCAGTATCGATGTGCTGTAAACAAAGACACGCGATTTCCGCAGCAGGATTTATACATCCTGTCCTTCCTCCTGAATGCTTTTACCCAGACGCCACCCCTCGTCTCAATGCTCTGGAGATTTTCCTGTTGTTATGAACACATCTGACCCAGACAATCTCCTGCTGTGTTCTTCATATGTGAGAGGCAACCATTCCTGGAGTTCATGTCTGAAAACGACTTTAAAGAGTGTACCTTATAAATGCATTATTTTCAGCTGCCAATTCTCAAAAAGATCATTTTTGTCTTTGCTCACAACTATTTCCATGCAACTGAATAGCACTTTTATACACATAACAAAAAATAATGAGCAGAACCTAGTAGCTTCCTGGAAATTGGAAAAATCTATCTAAAATGTTCCTTTATGCTTTGGAAAAGGGGAGCTAACACATGTATAACCTCTTGTGTGATACTTGAAGCAAGAATTCCACAGGAGCCATCCAGCTTGTTGGCCTGCACTGCTCTTATAGTGAACTTAATCTCACAGTCATTAAGTACAGCATYACACAATATTAATAGCACAGCGTATATATATATATATATATAAGCTCTGTCTACACATCTAACTGCACATGTTATTTTATTCCATAAGCTTTGTGCTTTAGAACATCTTAGTGTCTGTCACGTTGCCTGTGCCCCTGCAATGTGGAAAAAAAGGATAAATGCACTGTTGACCTTTGTTTGAAAGAAATTGCCCTAAAGTGCAGGAAGCCAGAAGCCTGTTTGGTATTTATCTGTCAAAATAATGAATTTCCTGTAATTGGTTAAAGGTTCTCTCTGCAGCTCGAGCTAGCTGCTTCATTAATATTACATCCACACACAAAAAACATCGATCACGACACTATGTTTTAAAGTCGTTTTTAGCCTTAACTCTTTCCTTCAATCTGCTTTTGCTTGCAAAGCCACAGGCTGGTCCCACCATGACAGACCAATATTTCTCTGATTGGCTATAATTAGTAGCTCTTGCCTAATGGAGGCATGTGGAGAAGGGAAGCACAGGGAGGTGGAAAGGAAGGAAGAGAGGCAGGAAGATAAGAGAGATTCTGTCTGGTAACCATTGATGTTTTTGGTGGTAATTATCTGGACAAAAATTCAGAAAAACAATCTTCTTCTTTCGCTGTGGTCTGTCTGTTTCATGCAACACACTCAGTCCTGTTTTCTACGGTTGTGGAGGCTTGTCATGGCTTGTTGTCCACTTCCTGGTACACTAGTACAAATTTCATATTATCATCTGCTGCTTCACCTCAGCCTCACATCCTGATGTCAATCGACGGACATGTAGTGATTCATTCCCGGTGTTAGGAAGTTATGTTTGTTTGTCATGTTAAGCAGGATTACATGAAAAAGAAAAAGTATAACGATTTCCACTGAATTTTGTTGAGGGGAATGACGCAAGAGATGGTCTTATATTTTGGTGCAGATCAGGATGGGGAAGGGCTGATCCAGGGGAAAAAAATCATTGTCTTAACACAGTGAAATTGGGCTTTTTTCAGCATTTTCCTGGATTTCTCGGAGAATAATTCATGGATCTTAAAAATATTCCAAATGTTAAGGGGACTGATATTTGATAGTGTTTAATTTGGTGCAGATGCAAATAAAGACTGGGATCTAGTGAATTTAAACATGGTTTCATTAGTGTACTGTTGTATGTTGACTGATGTATGTGCTGTAGAGCATTTCTAGTTTCACATGGATTTGTAAATGAAAAAGCTACAATCAAGTTTGAATAACAAGATAACACATTGACTCGATCCAGTGCATCCAAAAGCCCCGGGGGTAAGTTGTTGTGGAATGACAGTCGATAGGGTTTCACTTTGTTCGCTTGTGTTGCTGTCGGTGTTCCTGTCAGTTGGGTCATTGGGGCCAGTGACCCCATTACACAACGTCATCAGGCTTTTTTCTGTGTTTGTGTCTGTGGTTACATAGATAGGACACACAGTGTTATGGTTGCACTGATGAGGGTAGGTCGCTGCAGGTAAGAGTGTCCCCACTGAGTTTAACCACAGGGAAATCAGGAGTGACACACATGATACACATTTTGGTTGCTGCCCAATGGAGTTAATTATCTCCTCTTTAGACTGGAAGGTTGATCCGAGTTCAGGAGGTGCAGTTAATCATTGTGTAAACGTTCTGCTTGCGTTTGGGTTTCTGACATTGTTGTTGGTTTCATATTGATTAGATTAATGAAACCTGGTAACGTATTTCCAGGAAATGGGGTGAAAGGAAATTGATCTGCCTGCAGTGGGTGGCGCATACATATTTCACTGTTCTTGTAGCGTATGTATAGCATTAAGCTGATCTATAACCAGTACAGCTATGAAGTTGATGTCCAGTTTTGGCTGAGAGCTTATATTGACCTTTGGCTTGGATGTGAAAGTGTTCCAGTGTGGTTTGGATATTTAGTTCCGCATGTTAGTGACATGCAGGCTCGTCGGGTCGTCTCTGGATATGCAGTTTGTGTCATTTTAGATTGGTAAGCAGGCAGTGTTATTCTGTGTCTGATGTCACAACTGATTCATGTAGTGTCTGCTGTTGATGGCGCGTGATGTTATTTGTATTTCCTCCAGAGCACCATCAACCCAGTGGATGGGATCTTCCAGCCAACTCTGGACACTCCTGTAGTCAACACCACGATGCCAACACAGACTACACTACCAACAGGTACCTGTCATCTGCCTCCTCACCATCCCTTACACTCATGTGGGTTCCTGTGTTTGATACACACTTCACACACCCAGCATTACTCACAGAGGTTATTAATGTTTTGTAACATACTCAAAGGGGAAAACAGCTCCCCCTGGTGTTTGCATGTTTAACCTCCTCAAGCTGATGTTTCCGCTCGGTTTGACTCAGTATATTTTGTCAAGTGATCGCTTTTTTAATTTTTTTAATCAACAGAGTGAATGTTTGAATTAATTTGAATTCAGGTGTTTCACATTGAGTGGAAAGGCAGTGGAAAGAAACCTGAAGCGAGCTCTAGGCTTTTGATAAATGTTCTAAATATGCTTTCATTGTTTGAAGGTAAAATTATATAAGATAAGTTCCTGATCACAACATATACAGCAGTGTTCAGTTGCATGACATAAAGTCTGGTAATAAAAAATCTTTAATTTAGTACGATCTTTCTAAAAGTTTTCATTATTTAGTTCTCCAACTTTCACGAGAGTTTTGACAAATGCTGTTAAAATGAAAACTTCAAACTAGGCCAGTCTTATTTCACTCTGACTGTGAAATCCCTCTCAGGACTGAAGCCTGTGTTTACAGCGTCTCGGATTATTTTCTCAGCCTCTTGGAGCTGCTCTTGATGAGGTGCTGCTTTTAATGTGATTTGGCTTCAGTCTCAAAAACTCATCCGCTTTCTCTTTTTTGCCAAAGACGCTTCTCAGGTGTGTAAATCAGACCAACGACCTTCCACGTTACCTGTTGGTCCCGTTGTCACGGTGATGGGCAGTCTGCAAACCCCAACTCCCAACAGCACAGGTGAAAGTTCACTTCACTCAAGTGGCCGGTTATACTGGTTTTGTGCTTTAATACAGTTCCCCCCAGTATTCATTCACTCATCCATCCATTGCATGTTTGGTAAACTAGTGCAGTGCCTGTTCTGAACATGCTCGTTTGGACTGGGCTATTTATTTGGCCTGTGGTGATGCTGGTTGCAGCTTTTTTTATGAAACTGTAAAAGTGACCTGCAGTAATTGAGCCACAGCAAGCAATGACCTGCAGCTGATCTCAGTCCACAGAATCAGCTGCTGCTCAAAGAGCTGTGTACCTGTCTATTCCAAGTTCGTTGAAGCTTGACTCGGTGCACAGAACCTGACCTGGAGAATCGGTTGTCCTTACCGTGAATACATTGTTGTTGCGATCGACAACGTCACTTACATTGAGTCCCACTCGCTGCTGCAACAGAGCAATGGTCGCCTGGTGATTCAAAGTTTAATTATTGATTGCATCGTGTGTCCAAATTGCACCAAATTCAACACTGCACTTCCCTTGACCCTTAATACACATGCCTCACAAGTGTGAGGCTGATAAGATGAACCGTTCTCGAGATGTGCGTTCCACTTGAAGAGCTACAGAAGGAGATTCATGGAATTATTAATAATATTGTATTTTAAAAATCCATCTCATTTCAATTTCCATTTATTAGCTGTTCTGGTGTTTTCAGTTATATAACATGATCTTCTTAGCAGATGGAATTTTCTCATTTGTCCTGGTATTTTACTGAACAAAGTTTTAATCTATGTGGGCTCAAATGTGACATTACAAAGACTATTGTCCTTGCAGCTGACCAGAATAATAAAAATACAATTCTAAAGGTCTGTTAAGTACATTTTCTACAGTTTTAGATCATATCACATAATCTTTAGTAGCAGATGGATCTTGTGTTAAGTTGGATGTCTGTTATTTGCGTAGAAATTGGATGTATTTCTCATTCTCAATTTACAACAGGAAGGAGGATACTTTAGACAGAAAACTGATCATGTCCTTGTCAGGATGCTTTTTCTCCTTTTTAAATCCTTTCTACAAGCTACAGGAAGCTAATGGTATAAGAAGTCCACCACATGAACAAAAGCAGTCATATTATTTTACTGTTACTGTACTTCTCCAGCCCGGAGTGTTGTGTCCATGAACATAAAGTCAATTAAAAAGTTGCCAAGTACAAAAGCAAGGGACAGCAGAGACTCCTGCCTATTTGTCTTCTGTGCTGAGGCAGCAGTATTAAAACGCTGTGCTGTGCATTAAGGAGGCAGCCTGCATGCTCGAGAGCACTGTCAATACGCTCTGCAGTGGAAGCCTTCACTGTATTGAAGACAGGTTACTGTACATGGTCTTCAGGACTGGGCTCGGAAATAAATGCTCCAGTTAAAGATGAACTGTTGATTTAACTGTATGAATAAACAAACCTTATTTACTTACTAAGATACTGCAACTTAAGACTGATAATCACACAATGGCTGATATTTTTACTTCCTCTTTCAGGGAGTGGTCCATCAGGCCCCAGCAGTGGCGTCACTTCCCCGGCTCTCATCCCCCTACCCTCGCACTCTGTGCCAGATTTCTCCTATTCCTCCAGTGAGGATGAATTCTACGACGCTGATGAATTTTACCAGAGCACCACTTCCCCCAAACACTGCATAGAGTGAGTACAGCAGCCCCACCACACCTCCATGCAATCTGCACTGCACAGAGTGAACCTAACCTGACGCAGATGCAGTTCAAGACGTGTGCAACAGAACTGACTGTGAAATCCTACTCAATCTTTTATCTCCTCATCTCTCCGGCTTCCTGCCTCCTTTCCGCTCCTGCTATCTCCTCCTCTCGCCCTCAGTCCCTCAGGGCCTGCAGCCGCCCAACCCCTCTCTAATGAAGACACGGCATTGAAACGACCAGACACCACCGAGTCCCTCAACTCGTCCATGTCCAATGGAACTACAGAAGCAGGTAAAAAAAGGAAATGCTTGCAAGAGACACAAATATAATGGACATGATTAATGTTGTTTCAGCCATATGAGACTTCTCCTCTTCTGTTGTCCTTAGATCCGTTTGATAGCCATGACGACCGTGATGATGATGGAGAGGGCGAGTCGGTGGAGGAGCACAAGAGCGTCATCATGCATCTGCTGTCACAAGTTCGTTTGGGCATGGACCTCACAAAGGTAAAGAGATCAGAGCAGTGAACTGATGTACGAGTGTCTCTTTGCTCTCTATGACTTTCTACCACTGGGTGGTACCAGTCCTCCTTTTATTCATCAACATCTGTGTGATCTGTTTCTTTTCCACAACCACAACAGTTTTTCATCTTCATTATATTTCACAGGTTGTCCTGCCAACCTTCATCCTAGAGAGGAGATCTTTGTTAGAAATGTACGCAGACTTCTTTGCACATCCCGACTTATTTGTAAGGTACGTACCATTTCAACAACTCTTCAGTTCTGTTTAAGTCATTGTTTTAATCAGATACATTTCAGATTGAGAGCTCTTCTTTCATTTGTCTTCCACTAGTATCGCTGAGCAGCCGGAGCCCCGGGAGCGCATGGTTCAGGTGGTGAAGTGGTACCTGTCTGCCTTCCATGCAGGGAGGAAAGGCTCAGTGGCCAAGAAACCTTACAATCCAATCCTGGGAGAAGTTTTCTACTGCCACTGGGATCTGCCCACAGAGGCAGAGGAGCCCTCCCCACCCACAGTGAGACCACATGCATCTGTAGAAAACACCCAATCATACAAAACAAGTTTATCATCACTGAAGCTGGAAGTCACTTTGGCTTAAAAACCTTGTGAGCCTGTACTGACCATTGAGATACTACATTTGATCTGTGGTTATACAAATAAACCTACAGGTTATACATCCTAGATTTAACATTAGATAGCAGCAGACATCTAGAGAAGATACTAAGTCATGTTGTCATGTGTACAGAGTTAAGTCTTACTCCCTTTGTGTGTTGTGTGTGTGTGGCTCAGAGCACAAAACACTGTAAACACACCAGCCCACCACCGTGAAACCAGAAACACAGCAGCAACACTATTTTTAGACAGTTTATGGGCTTCATGTTTTAAGATGGTGGTGCTAGTGCAACGTACAGGGGCAAATAATATTGTGTATATATAATCTTAATTTAAATTGCAACACCTACTAAGAAACACATTCCATTTCCACCACAGATTGTATTTAATATAGTTTTTAATAATCACAAACAGTGTCTTTTCATATTATTTACAGCTGTGAAATGGAATAAGCATTAAGTGATTCATCTGTTTTCAATCTTTGACTTTCTACCACCCCTCAGGAGACAATATCAGAGGGTCCTGTTCCCTGGTCTTCGTCCAACAGTGTGTGTTTTGTGGCAGAGCAGGTCTCTCACCACCCACCCAGTGAGTGTCCCGCCTTCCTCTGAAAGATTACACTGCACTGCCAAAACCTCTGGACATGTAGGGTCAAGGAAATCCAGCGGCGCACTTTGACACTTTTTATCTTCAAAGATACCTGCAGCCTCTCTTTCTTTTTTGTTTTGATCTCATGTATCATTAAGATTCAGAGCCCAGAAAACTTGTGCAACCAATATATCCCAGTGACCATGTTTTATATTAGGATTTCTTAAAATGTAATTTAATGTTCAACTGTTTTTAGAGGCTGGCTTCTGGCTTGATTGGATTGTCGCTGAGATGTTTTCTCTTTTTGTCCACACTCATCAGTGTTCCTTCTCATCTCTCTTTAGTTTCTGCATTCTACGCAGAGTGTTTAAATAAGAAGATCCAGTTCAACGCTCACATATGGACTAAGTCAAAGTTCTTAGGCATGTCCATAGGTGTGCACAACATCGGCCAAGGTATTCGAGGCGACTGTCCTGCACACTAACATCTACATTTGAGACACTGTTCTAACTTTGTGGATATGTAATGATTGGTTTCTGTTTTTCAGGCTGTGTATCGTGTTTGGAGCATGATGAACATTACATCCTCAACTTCCCTAATGGATACGGCAGGTGTGTGTTTGTGTGTAATATCTTCCCTCACCATTACTGTGTGATCATTACCGTCTGCTTCACTGACGTGAGTCTGTGTGTCCAGGTCGATTCTGACCGTGCCGTGGGTGGAGCTGGGCGGGGAGTGCAACATCTCCTGCTCCAAGTCGGGCTACAGCGCAAACATAGTGTTCCACACCAAACCCTTCTACGGAGGGAAGAAGCACAGGATCACTGCTGAGATTTTGTAAGAGGGAAATAGTTGCACAACACGTTAGGTCACAGTTTAAAGACCAAGAATAGATTTGCATAAATATACTAATTTTCTCTGTCTCCTGTAGTGCACCTAATGATAAGAAGTCTTACTGCTCCATTGAAGGGGAATGGAATGGAGTGATGTACGCCAAGTGGGCGACTGGAGTGAGTCCTTTGTTTATTGGTTTTCTGTCTTCCATTTTTTCTACTTTTCTTTTAAGTGGTGGAGGGTGTGAAAATAATCACTAATAAACATTTATCACAATGTAGGCATTCATTACATAGGGAAATTACTGTTAAATGAAAGAGTCGTAAATACATGACATTATATTACATACGTTGCTTTTTGTGTTTCTAGGAGAACACAGTGTTCATCGACACTAAGAGGATAGGTATCATCAAGAAGAAAGTGAGAAAGCTGGAAGACCAGCTTGATTACGAGTCCAGAAGGTGAGATATGAACCAGTCGTTCAACAAGTTGCTTTAATGAGAAACAAACTGTGTGTTTGACTTTCACCTCTTTGATGCATCAGATTGTGGAGAGATGTGACGCTGAACCTGAAACTGAAAGACATCGATTCAGCAACAGACGCCAAACACCGGTTGGAGGAAAAGCAGCGAGCTGAAGCACGAGAGAGGAAGGAGAACGAGCAGCAGTGGGAGACGAGGGTGAGTCTGGTTGTATTTGTTTTTCAGCTTCATGAAAGAACTTGGATACAGTGCATTAATAGACCATGCACTCCTAAAATCTTTATGTGAGTAATAATTGTTATTGCTTGTGTTTCTCTGCAGCTATTCCACGAGGACGGCGAGTGCTGGGTCTACGACGAGCCTCTATTAAAGAGATTAGTCTCTCAGAGGCAATGAGGAGACGACGCACACTCTGACACAAACACACCAATGTATGCATAAAGAAATGCACACATAGCAGAGTCTTCATAAGAACTCTTTTGCAAAAAACACTTCTTATCCAAGCCTTGGAATGACTGATGATTGATGATGTACACAGCTTTGCGTCTGACTGTAAAACAACAATATGGAAGTGAATGAAATCGAACGGGATCAAAGATGTAACATGAAAATTAGCAACGCTTCTTCTCCTTATTTTGGGCAAACTCAGCTTTCGACGCCATCGAGCCCCACCATCACGAGACCTGTCGGTGCACAGAGACAGCACAGGAGCGTCCCTGCTTTTCGTTTTCTCCACTCTGTCCGTCAGCTCCATGACCACACCCATCGTCTGCTCCACGCTTCACACACGTGGTTTTTGTTGGGAGGGGGCGGGTACAGGGGTGTGGTTGGTGTTCAAATCAAATGAACCTTGACAAATAAAACAGCGCTCTACATCTCAGGGAATCTGGTGACTGAGGAAAAAAAAGCTGCTGCTCCCTCTGAGAGTCTGACAGCCTTAGTACAGTGGAACGGATTAATCTTAAAGGGGCGGGGGAGAAATTCTCTGATTGCCTGCAACTAGTTATAACTGTTGTTTATATATAGATATGATATACATATGATGGATATATAAATATATATTCTTTTTTTATTTTCAATGCTCTTTTTGTTTATTTTTCTTTTTGGCAATAGTGTAAAATATTTGAGGATATAAACTTGATGGATTTACATCTTTAGGAATCATTCCATTTATCCCTTTTTTTTTCTGTTACCCTTTAAAAGTTGACTCGCCACATATTTGGTTCTCCTCACAGTTCTGTGTCTCGAGTGTTATCCAGAAGCAAAGCCCTGCGTAACCCAGAGCACAGATAAATGGAATATATGCAATATAGAAATAATTTCCATTGCCTGTCACTGGAGACATTTGTACATCCGTTATACCAAAAAAAATTGTTGGAGAAAAGGTTGAAGAGAACAAACAATCTTCTAAAAAAAATTAAAAAAAAAGATGTTTCCATGTTAACTGAAGGCATTTATGAACGAATGATTGTTTACATATTTTTGTCTTTCTGGATTTCTGGTCTGTGATGAGGACATAACGGTTGGACTTAGTCTGTGATGTCTCCTTTTCTGTTGTGCACATGACGTGTCCCTGTGTCCTCTCCGGACCGCTGACTCGACAGTGGATCACCTTGATGACCGCTCCTGTGTCATCGGAGGGTGGAGAGAGGGATTCAGATAGGAGTTTCTGTATTCTGCTGGTTCAGTCTCCTTGTCATCTTGTTTTTTTCTCCATGGTTTTTCAAGATAAGAACTACATATAGGGCGGTGTTCACCGTGTTCACCTCGGACCATTCATCATTCATTCTCTTATTTCCAGCTGGATCTAAATGTTGCGTTATTTGGATGAGATACAAGAAAAAACACAATTCACCTGAAAATGCCTGAGAACATCTTTTAATGCTGCAGCAAACTCTGATCAGATCACGTCACGTCCATGGTAACAGATGTTTTGAGTTTTAAATTCAATTAAAATGATGGAGTTAAAAAATACATTCCTGATGCTTTATGTGCATCCAGCGACATACAAATTGAAAATGGAAATACTGGTGTTTGCTGCAGTCGAATTGAATCCTCTTCTAAATTGGACTAAAATGCTCTTTTGAAACATCCCAGTCCCAGCTAAACATGAAGCTACTATTTTGTGTTTTCCTCTTTCATGTTTTGTCGTTGTAAATTATATTGAATTGAGGCCTTGTCATACATTTCAGTATCACTCATTGTCGCCTGATAGAGAGTAATCAAGACAAATGTATTTTTTATTTCCTTCTGATCATAACCATTGATTGTATCAGATCCTCCTGTTTATTGATGCATATATTAAATCTCCATGAGTTTACACCTGTGAGACTTTGTCTTGATTCTTCCAAAGAGTGAGTTCAGGTTCAGCGAGGACGCACACTTACTTTTTCTATAGATATTCATGTCCATATATAACTTCTGTTTAAGATGAATTAAGATAATTATTTATTGACCCCGAGGGGGAAATTCATGTATCACAGCAGCCCACGTCCGCAGGTAAAAGAAGAATAGAGCAAAACTAGAACGGTAGCTCACAACAGTCTTCTTAAATGCAGATAAGTTGCACTTAATTTCACACATATATATCCCATACATATAAATATTATTTCCATAGATTATTTTCATTGAGATCCACAAATGATTTCCTGGAAAATGTTGCAAAACGTTAGATCTTACAGTGTTAAGGAAAGTGAAAAAAAAAAACTCCTGATTCGGATCTGCACCAAAATCTAATGAGTTCTTTCATGACTCAACCACATCAACTCACCAAGTTTCATGGAAATACGTTCTGTAGTTTTTATGCAATCTTGTTTATTGACAGACAAAACAAACCAAACAACAGACCAGGGTGGAAACAACCTCCTTGGCATAAGCAATAGAAATATATAAGACAAATAAACGCAGCAATTAGATCCTGTATTGGAAATGTGTCTTTTGTGTATGTAAATTGCATGAGCATACGTGTATGTGGAGGACTGACCTAATTGTTGATCTAAAAGGGCAACTTTAGGTTTACGATGATGGCTTGAGAGACTTTTATTTTTTTATGGCCTCTAGAAACCACAACTTTATGGCATCTCTTGGTATCTTTGGTTGGGATCTCACATCTGGGGTCTCACTCCAGGGGTCGTCCACAAACATGTAAACACATAAGGACAGGATGTCTCTTCCTCTGAGTGAAACTACAGGAGGGTAATAAATACCTTTACATGCTTAGTGGGAGGGGGCTGTGAGGTATAAGTACACAGATTCTCCTATGTTCATTTGTGCATGTCAGCCAGGTGACGTGTACCGTGAGGCCATCTGCAGATGCTGAATTAAACTTAAAGAAAGAAGTGTTTGACTTTGTGCTTGTTTCACAATCCTTATATATAATGTGAGGCAAATGCAATGGACTGTATTTTCAGTATGTGGGGGTAGGAGAGGGGGTAGTGGCTTCTCAGCGTGAGGACAGTCTGTATTGTCCACCATCTGTTCAGTCTGACGTCTGCTCACCATGGAGAATAGGAGCTGGAGTTATCGTCCAGGAAACTACACTAACGCTGACATACAATGATGTTATAATGAACGAGGTAAAAAAAATTACATTCCTGCTCAATATCAGCTACATCACAAATCACATTTCCTGTCATGCAGTCAATTAGCATTTTCTTAATCCAGTCTATAACAACAACTTCACAATAAATCCACATACATGAAGTTTTAATGTTCTGTTTGTGTTGAAACTGTTGGATCACACTATGGTAGAGGATGATGTTGAGCTGTCTTGTTTCAGACAATGAGGTATTTTTTCTATGACAGGAATCAACCTTCAGTAAAGTTCAATACAACAACACCACATTCTACATCCTCAAATGATCACTGAGGAAATCAGGTCAGCTGAGTCAGTGATCTCTTTTAAAGGTCCAGTGTGTAAGATTTAGGTGAAAGGGAACTATTAGCAGAAATTTAATGTAGAATAATCCTCATGATGTTTTCTCTAGTTCGTTTCATCTAAATTGTAAAAAATTGGATTTTTCTTTACCCCAGAGAAGGTCCTTTATATTTAAATACTTTATATTTACATCAAGGGGACCCTCTCTACGGAGGCCGTCATGTTCTTTACATTAGTCCAGACTGGACAAACTAAACATCTTTTGAGTTTTTATGACAACTGGAGCTACCACAGTTTTTTTTTCATGTTTGGAAGGAGAGGGTGAGGTGAGGGGTGTTCAGCTGCAACAAGCAATTTCAACACTAGATATCACAAAATTCTACACACTGTACCTTTAAATCTATTTTATTGGAGAGCATTTCCTGATTTAACCTGAATTTAATTCTATTTTATTGAATTTTACTTTTAAAAATTCATTTAAAATAATTGTATTTGAGTTCTTTTAAATCAATATTGTCTTTTAATATTGGTGATTCCTTAATCTCTGTTTTATTTTGCTGCCCTTGTAAAGCACTTTGTAACTATAGTCCTCTCTAAACACAGTTATAATTATTAAAGTTATCACGCACACTTCACTCACAACCGTCTGAAACACTTTCGACCCAGAGAACATTAAAACCTCCATGAACGTGGGTTTATTGTAGAGTTATTGTATGAGACTGTGTTAGTTTGATATCAGCTTAAAATGTTTTTTTATTCATCATATATTTTGTTCAATTTGATCCAAAACAGACACTGACTGTCCTGTTTCACAAAGTGATGATAGTATTTCATTTCATTTACATTATTTTAAAGCTCCTCCCCCCTCAAAGTATAAGCAGCATAGATAATGAGCTTAGGATGACTAATACAAGTTACAGAATTTATTAGATTGTTTTTCATTGTGTTCCTCATCAATGGGATGATGTACGTCATCATCAGAAACGTACACTCTCCTGAATCTGCCCACGAGGGGCACTAGTCTTTGGACTATTTTTCCCATCAGCCAGTGCGACCTCTGCTATAAAAGCGCCTCGCGCCCTTTACCCGCTCTCATTCCCCGGCCTCTGTGTGACAGGTGAGACTCCTCTGCTCTGCTCTCTGCTGCTGCAGCTCTTTATCTGTAATGTTTGTCCTCCTCTGTCTCCACTCTGATGTGTGTCGGGGCTCCTTTCCTCTGCGGAGCCCGGGCCGCTGCTCGCGGACCGGCTCGACCTCCGAGGAGCCGATGCTAGCGCAGTTAGCCTGGTTAGCAGCAGCAGCAGGCCTCGGCCACGTGTTGCGCAGCGCGTGTAGAGCTCGGCTCGGCGCAGCCTCGTGTCCTCGCTGTGTGATGAAACAAATGTTGGTAGGGACATCTGAGTCATGTGAGGAAACGCCAACTTTTCTGACTGAACGAGGCACTTTGTAAAGAGGCTGTTTTCCGGGAGTTCACTGCCGAGCTCCTGCGCTGCCACACTTCAGGGTGTGGAGGTTTTCTCAATGAGCGTCAGTAGGAAGATACTTGCATCTATTTGAAAACGATTTGTGCTCAATCTGTTTTCCGTCTGTCTGCAGATTTGTCAGCTGAGTCGATTCAAGATGAAGGTGAACATCACGGGGTAAGAGAAGCATTTTATTAAAGGAGAAGTGAGAGGTTTGAGTCTGGATCAGTGGTGTGATAAACTCAGATTAGTTTGTGCCAGCTCATTAATCTAAGATGGCGTCCTGGATGTCTTCAACTAACGTGCTCTTATCCCCTCAGATTCAAACGGGGGTCTCCAGGTGTTTGGAGTCATGGCCAACATTTCTGGTAATTGTAGTTTTTTAACTCTACTAATTCAAAGTGGAAGTCGCTGATGATTTCAATTGTAAGAGTAGTGGACAGAAGTGATTTCTGAGCAGCTTTATACTGAGACTTCTTTCAGCTGTGCCCTCTGCTCTTCATGGCACGTGTTCAATACTAACGTGAGTGTGTATCCACAGGTTGGAGTATGATACAGAGGTATGAAGAAGCTGGAGACCATGAGGTAAAGATCAAGTTGTCTTAATGTCGATGGCTTCTGCTTCTCTTGAGGTGTGTTGCAGTATTTTGATTCACTTTTCACCAGGCTCAGAGATACAGCCTCAGTAGTTGATCCTAAGTCTGACAATTTTATTTTTTAGCTTCCATCCTTTTTTTTTTTTTTTTTTTAAATGCATCCTTAAAATGATCCACTATTACAATTTGAACTAGTTTAATAACTACATCTACGACTCCTGGTTTAAATGGGCAGGAAGTTAAACATAATTGTTAGACTGGGTAATTTCCTTAAACTCACAAAATCTTTAACTTTAAACATTTGATTTTAGAGCTACATTTTTTTAATTGTCCTTGAAACATCACTGGCAAGTTGGGAGAGCCCTGCAAATGTAGTTATTTCTCATTAATAAGGATTTGATGATTCTAATTGAGTGAGTTTTTCAATCATTTCAATATATTGTAATTTTTCTCACAACTGTAAAAACAGCTTATTGAAGGCCTGTCCCATTTGTGGGGAGGATTTCTACCACTACCCCTTGTGACCCCAAGGGGCAGGATAAGCCTCAAACAAGGGGTGTGGTGAAGTGGGGTTGGGCCTTGGTGTGGCTCTGGCTCCACCCTAATCACACACCTCCAGAGAAGCAGCAGTCTTATTCTGCACATGATCCCTGTGCTGCTGTGATGACATTTATTTGCTACTCTTGATCAATGGATGATGATACTAGCAACCACCATATTTTATTATCTGAGGCACTGATGAGGCTAGCCTGACACCCTGAGATTGTCATTTCAATGGCTCACTTACATCTTCTTTCTGCAGATGTGATCATGTCTGCCCAAATCGACTGTTTGGCAACTTTCAAACAGGTAATGACACAATTTGATTTGATGTATTGGCTTTGAAACAAACTGTCAATGATGAATTTTGTTTAAAACAATGGGAATCTCTCTGATAAAGAGTGAAAGAGTACTTTTTTCTGATGCAGTGCTGATTTAATAAAACTTGCATGTTTGCAGTTTTGTGTTTTCTCTGAACTTCTGGTCTGTCTTGCAGATGATCTCACGTTGTTGCAGCTAGTCTGAATGTTGCAGAATGAGCTACAGGTGAGTTCCAGATTTTATCTGTTTGAATTTTTGAAACTCATGATGCAATGATGATCCCATAGTTCAGCAGATTGAACAGTGAAGAAGAACTTTTGTCTTTCGCTCCTATCTGATGTGTCAGCTTCCATGACCTTGCACGTCTTCAGATATGAATTTGTTTTAAATTGAATTTCTGGTTTATTTTCAGGAACCTGTCTATATGCAGAACACAGAGGTGAGTGAGACTGAAGTGTTATCTGTTAATGAAGTTTGACACAATGATGATCCCATAGTTCAGCAGATTTAACAGTGACGAAAATCTATTGTCTTTCGCTCCTATCTGATGTGTCCCCTGTAATTGTCCTCTAGTCCTAATGGGTTTTAATGCCTTACTAACACCCCCTCTTGTCTTCAGACATGATCTCTGCTGACTACGTTTCCAGCCTTGATGGTGAGTATCATGTTGAGATCAAAATGGTTGCTAACGTTCAGGTGTGATGAATGTGAATCAGGTCGCTGATCCAGTTGAGGAAATTTGTCATGATTTCTGATCTGACTTGTTGCAGGAGATAAAATTGCTTGTTTCTGCCATTATCTCAGGAGAAGCTGTTCTCACTTTACAGATCTAATGGCATCTTGGGCAGTTGGGTGCGTGCAGAAGATGTTGCACAAACATTGTGAGTATGAAAATATTTCTACCACCTCAGTCCCAGATGACAAGTGGAGTTGGGGGGGAAGAGCATGCCATTTAGATGTCATATCAGCAGGTGGTTGTGTTGCTGTTGGATAAACTTTTGTGTCTGTTAAGACTGAACTGGTTGTAGTGTGACTTTTGCTAACTTGTCTTTGTTTGACTTGATTAAAATAAAATGTATGTAGTTTGGGATATTCCCTCACATTGTAAACTTCTGTGAAGTGTCAGTCAAACCTAAAGTAGAATTGGAGAAATGAATTTAAAACTGACACCAGCTGGTTGAACTCCACCTCATCTGGGTCTGAGGGAGCTGCTCTGGTTAATTGGATCTTGGTTGGATGTAGTAAACCTCATGATCCCTGTAGACTGACCTTGTGATGACTAGATAAGACTGACTAAAAACCATGGAGTCTTGTTATATTAGCTCTATCTGATTTGGTCAGTGTAGAAATCTTCAGCCCCATGTTTCATGTGCATACTCAACTTATGCTTTTCGGACGTCTGCAGGTTCTAATCGCTCTGAGGTTCGACTGATCGGCAGAGACGAGGTTGAACGAGGTGAGAATGCAAAGACACAATACAAAATGGTTTTTGCTRGTTCRGTGATGTCTTAAACAAATGTCTGACCTGAACTTTTAATGTGGACAACATTGTTGCTGAGAAACCTGTAAACTTTAAACTTAACAGACCAATCACTGACTTGTAATAAACTTTCTGTCTCTTCTCCAGGAAATGGTCGCCTGGCCTGACCCCTGACCTTGGTAAGCATTTCTAAGTCAACTTAAATGCCAATGTCTGTAAYAGAAGATGGAGGCYTGAGTMTCTGATTAAATTGACCACTTCCTGTGATGACAAGATTCTGCCAAATGAGATCTCTTGATTATAACCTTACCGTTCCATTTTTCTCTGAGGTTGTGGTGATGACACATTTTTTGTTTTGTTGTTGCCTGGTTTTATTTTTAAAGACCTGTCTGTTTCCACAGAATGGGGTTGTAATGTCCTCTGGCCCTGAGACAGCCTGATGTTTTACACATAAGGTGAGTACAGGCCTGATAAAGTTATTATGTCTGAGTTGTGGTGATATCAAATACTTATATCAGAAATTGAATATTAAAACAAAGTTGCTTCTAATCTTTTTCAGATTCTGTGGGTTGATGGTGATCTGAGCCTGAGGACAACTGAATTTAACTTGGCTGATGTGTTTCCAAAATGACTGCAGTAAAATACTTAAATGAAATATTTGTTTGTGGGTTTTTGTAAAATAATAGAAAGACTTTAAAATGTCAAGAAGTGTACTTGACCAATGGTGCTGGTCAGTGAATCACAAAGAAGTAAG